GCATATATAAATACACTTAGTTTGTAATAAAACATTTTTTAAAATGTACCATGGTAAGTTTGTTTGTAAACTATGAGCATCCAAAATGAATTTGTACTTGTGTGTTATGTCCCTTATCAATGCCTGGGCTTTAGGGAGAACTGGAAGCCTCCTACGAGGATCCTCAAACTTAGTAGACAGTGGGACAATAATGTCCTTAAATCCAAAGAACACATTTGAGGATGAGAACCGGATCCTAGATCATGTGGTTTTTATGTCTCTCCTTGAAAATTTCATCTGAAAAATGAAAGTTTGGGATGAGTAAAAGATGGTTCCTATTTACAACATAGATTACAATTACAAATTAGTACACGTTAACTTGAGTGAGGTTTTTTTTTTTCTTTTCTTTTTTTTTTAAGTTTGGATAGTTGAAACACAAATGGCTAACTAGGATTTGTATTATATCTGGCACTTAAGAATAATAGTCCATTCCACTCTACCTCCCAGTGTCCTTTGCCTCTGGTGCAGATGGCTAGAAGTGGGCAAGTCTCAGAAAGCATTCTGTTGATGGCTGTGTTTTCCTACTGTGTTTTCCTTAGGACCTGTATTGATGACATGAATGTGTAAATAAACCATATAATGGGCCTTGTTCAGAGGGGCTACATTTTGCCTTTTAGTCAGAAATTAACCCTGACTGGTATGTGCTGTTAATTTAGATTGTTAGCTCAGTCTTCAGTTAAACATTTAATGAGTACTTTGTAATGTCTCATGAATATGAAACATGATAAGAACATTTCTGCTTTTTAAAAGTCATAGTGGATAGCTGGCAGTGGTGGTGCACACCTTTATTCCCAGCATTAAAGAGGCAGAAGCAGGAAGATCTCTGTGAGTTTGAGGCCAACCTGGTCTACGTAGTGAGCTTGAGTTCCAGGATAGTGAGAGCTATGTAGAGCGGTTCTATCTCAAAAAAAAAAAAAAAAAAAAAAAAGTTCACAGTGGATTGAGAGGAGTGAGGAGACAGAATAGACATTAAGCCTGTTAGATGTGTGTCATGTAGAGAGAGAGAAGCATGAACATAGGAGAGTTGGTTCTGCTGAAATGAACTGGGAATGAAAGGAAAGCCTTGGTGAGTGCATTTAACCAGGAGCATGAGGCTGGGAGCTGCAAAGGAGGAAGGGAAGGAGAGCCAGTTGTGTAGATTCCTATAGAGGAATTTGCTGCTGCCAGTGGCTCCAGCCTCTAGCCAAAGGCTGACGCTGAAGCAGGAGGATTGCAAGCGTAAGGCCAACTTTGGCAACTGAATGAGACCTTTTCTCCAAAGATGGAATTGGGCGAAATCACTGGTGGTGGAGCATTTGCCCAAATGCACAAGGCCTGAGTTCAGTCTCTCTCCAGTATGGCCAAGATAAAAGGATGATTTGTGTTAAAACAAGAACTCAAAATTAAATGGCATATTGGGGGAAAAGATAGTAGACCCATACAGTATAGATGATGGGTCATCACAGATGCTTTGGAGACACTTGAGTTATTTCATCAGTAGCTGAAACTGTAAATGAGCCTTAAGATTTTTAAATCCCTTTTATAATACCCAAGCAACTTTTATCTTACATGTGTTGCTTAAACTTTTATTTAGGATATTCACAGATTGACTGAAATTTTGGATTCTACTAAAAACATTTCATTGAAACTTCTACAAATTGTTATTCAGTTGGCAGAAACAAATTCAGTTTAGCAGTAATGCATCTAATTCTCTTTTCTGGTTGTTACCTTGTGTTACTAAGTCATTAGTAATTATTGTACTTAACTTGGTTTTCCTTCACCACTACCGATGAGGGGTTCTTTTTGTAGTTACATCTTGAATTCACTCCCATCTTGTACTCTTAACCACATACTCTTCCTTTTTTGTCATTCTCCTGCTTGAGCTCAAGCATCCGTTGTCGTTATCCAGCTCTTGGAATAGCCAGTGGGCTCTGTTGTGACTAGGAAGGCGCACTTGCAGTATGGAGGAAAGTGGAAAGAACTTGTTTTTAGCCCTGTCCTAATTGTCTCAGGGTGAAAGGTGACTGAAGCTGATCTCTTCAGCCCTGAGAGCATTTTCCGTTTCCTCGCTGCTGGAAAGTCCTGGATTTAACTCGGCCATGCATGGACTGTGCCTCTTGGCCTTTCCTTTCTTGAACCTAGCCTGATTTTGTTTGTTTTTGTTTTTTATGTTTTGGACTAAAAACCAAAAATAAATGAGCACTGAGTAAGAGTCCAAAATCTTACACTTTTTGTGATATGACAATCAGAATTATTTTTCATTCATTTCCAGATTCAGGGCTGCATCTGGAAGATTTGGGATGCCAAAATGTAATTTTTTTGGTACAGCAAGATGAGTTTTGAGTATAGGACACACAGAGATCAGAGCATCTTTACTGTTTTCCACAATTGATTGATACTTTCATCTGTGACCATCAGTGCTGATATTACTGCATCACATAAATACATATAAAATGACATAAGTATGTTTAGGTCCATTTTGGAAATTACTGGGAATTCTGCCCTGATCCTAAGCCAAAATCCATTTAATGAAAAAAATTTTTAATGTAACAAGTTAGTGAGTCAGACAGCAGTTTTTAAAATCAGAAGTCCTAACAATACAACCCAAAGGGATCCTACTATGACGTCTGCAGAGGAATATCTGTAGAATAGTACTAAAGTCTTTCTTCTCTGTAATTAATCCATTTGCTTCTGTAAGAGCAGAAGACTGTATGTGAGGCATACACTACAGATCATAACAGGACCAGTCAAGTCTGAGCCAAGGTCTTTGAGACATTGTTTGTTGACATACGCAGCAAAGCGACTGTTTTTATGTTCACAACCCAGGCTGCAGTGATGTCACACAGTGTAATCTGGCTAGTGCTGGCAGAAATGTTTGGTTCTTATTAATTTTGTCATTATGTATTCAGATGTCTTTTTACTGTTGTCAAATTTTTTGAGACACCCCTCTTCACCTTCAGGTCCCATCCATTTGTCTCCGTGTTGTGTGCCCCACCCCACCCCCTGGCTGCATTGAATCATAACCCACATTTTAAGAAGCTAGATCCTAGATATCCAGATGAGAAATGCAAAGAGAGGAATAGTGGGAAGAAGTCTGAGCAGTTGTGAGCCAAGGCCAGCATGGCTGCAGCGGTGTGAATGAGAGAAGCATTCCATAGGAGATGCTGGATGTGGGCAGGAGTCGGATTTTTGCTGCTTTCAGCTCATGTGAGCAGTGGGCAGTGGGAAGTCATTTTTATTAGATATACTAGATGATAGACATTTTGTGTGGATTATTCTGACTGTTTAACATGAGGTCGGAACTTTAGGGTTAAGAAGGAGACCAGGAAAGCTAGTACAGCTTGTGGAAGGTAAACCTTCTATGGTGGAGAAGTGTATGGCTGAAGAGCAAGGAGTTGGTGCTCTGGGGGGTCCCTGTGTGTGCTTTGACTGTTAGTGTTACAGCTCCTGTCACTGAGATACAGTTGTTTATTCTCCAGTAGTTATTTTCTACCTTTATTAGTTCTGTTGTAAGTAACAGGAGTTGAGAAGAACATTTTACCTAGTCTGGTCTTGTACTTAAGGAAGTGTTGCAGTGGAGTTTCAGGCACTAACCCGAGCTGGATTTCCTAGGTCTTTAGTCTGTGAGAACGAGTGTCATTGGGCTCTCATTCTGCAGAGGGGGTGCCTTACCGAGCCACTGAAAAAGCCATCTTGAAGGATTTCTGAGCTTCCTAAATGTTGTGCTCAGTGAAACTCTCTTCATGCCTCTGCCTTTACAATATTCCATGTGTATTTTTTGAAGAAATAAAACTGTTATTTGAATTTAAAACAACTCTAATATGCATGTCTTTGTTTTTATTCTCTTTCCCTCCAGTACCATTCTTTTGATATAAACATATCCCTTTGTAATGACTTTTAGGTGAGGAGAAAATAACCTTTATTTTGTGGCCATCTAAAATAATACTTTTTGGGCAGAAAGATGGGTCAGTAGGTTAGAGCACTCGCCACAGAGCTTGACAACTTGAGTTCAGTCCTGGAGCTCCTGTGGAAGGAGGGGCTCAGACAGGCTGTGTGCTGACCTGCACACACCGCAAGGCCGCCTCGCCAGGCCAGGGAGCTTTGTAACTCCAAGTAAGGAAACTGAAACGGAGCTGCAGACGTCTGAAGGTTTCCACCATATAAATTCAGTACTTACTGGAAACAGTACAGCAGCAGTGAGTGCAAGTTGCTTAAAAAACAAGTGCTATAAGAAGCAATATAAGCCAGGTGGTGGCACACACCTTTAACTCAGGAGGCAGAGGCAGGCGCATCTCTGAGTTCAAGGCTGGCCTGGTCTACAGAGTGAGTTCCAAGACAGCCAGGGCTACACAGAGAGACCTTGCCTCAAAAAACAAAATAAACAAAGACCAACAAGAAACAATATAAGCAAAGGTTAAATAATTCTGAGATTTTCATGTATTAATGAGGATTACAAAATACTCACTGATTTCACAGAACCAGTGTTGTTGAATTTTTTTTACTTGCTGTGTGTGTGTGTGCGTGTGTGTGTGTGTGTGTGTGTGTGTGTGTATAAAATATATGCACATGTGGAAGTGAGAGGATGGTATCAGGTTTCCTCGCCTCACTGAACCTGGGACTAGACTGGTAGCCACAAGCCCCCCAGTCCTCCTCTGTCTGCCCACTTCACAGCTCCACGTGATGTAGGGTTACAGGCACCGTACAGTTATCCTGGTTCTTTACGTTCATGTTGAGATTTAAACTCAGGGCTCCGTGCTTGCGTCCTCTGTGCCCCTTCACAGCCTTTGGAAGTGCTAGTTTCGACCTAGAAAAATAACTTATATCTTACTGTATACTTTATTCCTTCTCCATTTTTAAAATAGGATTAGTGTTCAAGGTTGTTTTATACAAAAATAATATTTTATCTTAGCAGCATTCACTTTTTTGTAGTGCCATTTTTGAGTTTCTTTTTCTCATTTGTTATCTCTCTTTCCAATACACAGGAATACTCCGAAGATAGTAACTCTGAGCCCAATGTGGATTTGGAAAATCAGTACTATAATTCCAAAGCATTGAAAGAAGATGACCCAAAAGCAGCACTAAGCAGCTTCCAAAAGGTGTCTGTATGCAATTGATTTTATGTCTTGAAGGTTTTTGTTTGTTTTTTGTTAATGATGCTATATCAGTTACTTTTCTCATTACTTTGACCAAATATCTGACCAAAAACAAGGATGACAGTATTTCCGTTAACTTTAAGACGTAGTCGTCCCTCATAGCCGGGAATCCGTATTGGCCAGAGCAGTTACTGGGATTCTTCCCATCTCCATGGACTAGTGTGATGGTTTGAATGAGAGTGGCCCTTGTAGGCTCATATGTGTGAATGCTTGGTCCCCGGTTGGTGGGACTTGGGTAGGATTAAGTGGTGTGGCCTTGGAGGAGGGGGTGTGTCACTTTGGGGCTCCAAAAGTCCATGCCATGCCCATTGTCTCTCTTTCTCTGTCTCCCACTTGGGGATCAAGGTGAGCTTTCAGCTGTCCCTGCTGTCGTGCCTTTGTTCCATGCCGTGGACTCTAACCCTCTGAAACTGTCCACCCAGTTCAACACTTCTTCATAAGTTGCCTTGGCTCTGGTGTCTTATGACAGAAGTAGAAAGGTGACTAAGACAACCAGAAAGCAAGGAGAGAGACTGGGACCTGAAGTGGAACTGGGTTATAGTGCCCCAGACAAGTTCCAGTGTTTCGCTTTCTCTGGCTAGGCTCTACCCTGAGGGTTCCACAACCTCCCAAGACAGCACCATCCATTAGGGACCAAGTGTCCAACACATGAAGCAGGCATTTTATTTCCAAATAAATGTGCATTAGATCCAAAGTAATTTATTTCAGAAATGTGTGTTTGATATTTATGATAATTCTGCCAGAAGGGTTGCATTGTGGATTTATTTCAGAAAGGTTTCCTATTGTCTTTTCTAATTAAGCTGTTGGTAAAGCAGGGTCCTTGTCCTGAAATCCACACTAGAGAAACAATCTCGTGGTCAGCACTATTATTACTATAATCTTGTTGCTTCTGGGAACAGATCACATTGATTTCTTGGCTTCTGAACAGTGGTGGTTCTTACTAAAGATGATTCAGGTAGGGGAGTTCTTTCTGGGCCTGCGTAATCAAGTAAGTCCTTTTATATGACAGAGCTTTAGAGTCAGCTCACTTACCCAAGGGTCCTAAGTAGTCTCTCTTTTAATCCTTTTTAAAATTACATTAACAGCTAGTGAAATTTGGGAGAAAATAATTTTCATGAATAGCTTATAAAAATTTATTCGATTCTTAGACATTGGTTGTCAAAAATACTGCATTAATATTGACTAAAAATGTCTCCCCATTTTAGGTTTTGGAGCTCGAAGGTGAGAAGGGAGAATGGGGGTTCAAAGCACTGAAACAGATGATCAAGATTAACTTCAAGTTGGTAAGATTTGTTCTTCGAGAAATTAAACTCACCGTGCCTCCTGCAGCATACCCCATGTCTCCTCCTTTAACCTCATTATAGTGACATCTGTCCATGTGTGGCTGCAAAATTATGACTCCAGCAGTGCTGATCTATTCTTTTTAAAATTCTTATTAAAATAGTTAGATCATTTCTTCCCCTTTCCTCCCTCCAACCCCTCCTGTATCCTCTCCTTCCACTAGTTTAAATCAATAGAAGATAAAAATTGTTTTCTGTATGGCACATTTATCCTTTAGATGTGCATTGTGTGTATTACTGCATATTTACAGGAGCATTATTTGTAGGTTTTTGAAAAACTTGCTTTGGAGGTTTATCTTGGAGTTTAAAAATTCCATCTATTACCAAGAACTCTTCTCCACTGACTGGAACCAAGTACTTTAGCATTTAGACCTCTGTTGTGTATTCCCACCAACAATCAATCAACAGATCAAGAAAGCCTGAGTCCCTTCAGAAGATGGTAGTATACTCTGCTACTCTGGTCCATGTTGACATCTCTCACCTACATCATTGCAGTGGCTTAGTAGCTGGTCTTGCATCCATCCTTGCTCTGCTACAGCTATTCTCACAGATAGCAGAGCATCCTTTTAATATGTAACTCAGATGATGCCATCCTTTCCTTCAGATCTTCTGTGGTCCTCATTGCCCCTCAATAAAATCCAAAGTCTTTACCGTGGCCCCCAGAGACCTCTTTGATGTTGCCTCTGCCTCATATGCACTTCTCTCAGCCATATGGCTCTGCTCAAATGCTCTTTGCCCACTAGAGGGCCTCTTCTGCTATCTCTGTTTTTTGTGACTTGCTTATTCATTGACTTTTCTCTGTATCCTTCCCCACAAGTGAGCTATAAGCTGTGAGAGCAGGGCTGTAGTTTTACCTGTAGTTAGCATTTAGTAGGTACTCACATTCTCTGGTAAGTGATTCATTGAAAAGCTGGATCTGCCTTGATATATTTTCATGGAATGCCAATCATCAGTTTTCTTAAACTAGACAAACAAAAGTGAAGAGTGCAGGGTAGACGTGGAAGAAAGGGGGTGGGATATCACTTTTCCAGAAAAGACTTTTCTCACAAATATAAGGAGACCTGAGTTCAGTCCCTAAAACCCACATAAAATCTGAGCACACACTTGTAATCCTAGTGCTGGGAGGTAAAGGCAGTAGGGTTCCTGGGCTTGGTGACTAGCCAGTCTAGCCAAACTGGTGAGTTCCAGGTTTTGAGAGACCCTTTGCAGACACACAAATGCACCTTTAAGTGCACACATACACACATAATAAAGAGAACTAATTGCAGATAGGAATTTTACATCACCAGGGATCAAGGAACTGTTTTGTCTTCTCCTTTGGCTTTATTTTAAAAGCTTTTCTATCTACCCCTGGTTGCCCTTGAACTTGCTATGTTGGCCAGGCTAGCTTTGAACTTGCCTCTGCCTTCAGGATGCTGGGATTACAGATGTGTGTCTCCATACTGTCTTTGGTAGAATGTGGTAGAAAGTAAGAGTGCATGTGAACAGAGGCTAAGCTCTTAGCGGGTCCAGGAACTAGGCTGATGGAAAGGTTCCTGCAAACCAGTTAGCACTTTTGTTTTTCTAGTGTCCGTATTTCTGAATGCCTCCTTCCTCTCCTGGTCACTTCTCTATCCCATCTCTGGTTAGCACTTGGGTTCCATGCCATCAGGCCTGGCTTGTTCCATTCTTCCTGTAGCTTCTTTCAGATGTTCTCTGACCATGGCATCATCTCCCATACTTAGTAAGAGTGGCTCCTTGAGCTCAGGCTTTGACCCCAAATATCAGAACCATTCAAAACATCTACACTGTTAATATTTTATATATTTAATTTAAATGTAGCTTACAAAGGAAAATCATGTGTGTTGTATTTACTCTTTCTGGTTCTACTTCAAAGTGTGCTTTTGCACAAAGCCCCTGTGATTTGTTTCTTTTTATGATGATATTACACCAATGTTTCTTAAATTAATAACCTAGAGAAATAGGGAAGCAGCAGGTGAATTAGCGAAACAAACAAAAAAAAAACAGTAACATTAAATGCTGAATGTCAACTTTTAAGGTGCTGTGATTTGCAAAAAAACGTGATTCCCTTAAAACTTGCTATCTTCGCATTTAACAGTGGCTTTGGTGTTAGTCCGTTTAAACTGTGGACTACCCTCAAGACTTGGTTTTTCTGTTTTACCTTGATCAGAGCTGGGAAAGATAGGAAAGGGTTAGCTGTGTCATGGTACTGTCTTCCTAGTTTACTGTTTGCTTCTGTCAGCATCTGTAAGTAGGAGACCACAACAGTAGTCACCGGTGTCTGCGCCCAATTTCTAGTTGGATCCACAGTAGAACCTGTGTAGCTGTGCAGTGTTGGGCAGTACAGTTAGAAGGTTCTGTTTCACTTGCTCTGTGTGCAACCAATTTACTTAATCTCTCACTCTTTAATTACAATTAACATAATTTTAAGGTTCCTGCCTCTATTTGTTCACATATATATATATTTAGTTAGTTTTCTCTCTTTGTTTTTCTTTTGTTTTTCGAGACAGTCTATCTATTTAGCCCTGACTGTCCTGAAACTCGCTCTGTAGACCACTCTGGTCTTGAACTCACGAAGATCCACCTGCCTCTGCCTCCTTAGTGCTGGGATTAAAAGCATGCACTACCATGTCCATCTAACATAACATTTTAAAATGAGTGTCTTAGAGCAGTCAGTATGGGCAGGTAAAGAAAGGTGCTTGCCACCAAGTCTGACAGCCTGAGTTCAATCCCTGGGACCCATGTGTCTCACAAGCTGTCCTCTGGCCTCCACATCATGCCATGGGGCAATTTTATTTTACACACCCTCACAGATAATGGGGGTGGGGTAGGCAGGAATGAGTATATTAGTTATTTTCTCTTTGCTGTGATATTCCCCTGACAAAAGCATCTTAAGGAAGAGAGGACTTACTTTGACTTACACTTGAGAGGGTGCAGTGTAGCATACCAAGAAAGGTGTGGCAGCAGGCAGGAATGGCATGGTGGCAGGTACAAGAGGCTGGTCATGTACGTGTGCACTCAGGAAACAGTGTCAACAGGAAGTAGAGCTGGGCTGTAACCTTAAGGCTGTCACCCAAGGACTTGTATCCTCTTCCTGAAACTCCCACAGCCTTCTCAAACAGTCCCCCAGCCAGGTATTCAAATACAAGCCTACGGGGGCATTTCACATTCAGATCGCACCAGTGAGCTTACAGTTAAATAGGATGAGAAATAATTCCTAATACCTTCATCTAAAATACTGTTTTAGTACCAAAACATAATGTCAAAGTTGAGACCATCCTATCTCATCATCTTTCTCTTTCTAAAAGATGCGGTCTTTAACTTCAGGTTTAGTAGGTTGTTTATAGGATAGTCCTTGTTAGTTATGTCCTCATGAAACTTTCGTAGTTAGGAAAACAGATGCCTGTAGCTAACTATCATTCCTTTAATCCTTACCCTAATAACCAGAAGAAAGTATTTATACCTGCCAGCGCACCATTTCCCTGAAAGAAATCAATCAATGAAAGAGGTTAGTAGCAGTAAGAGATTGTAGAGACTAGACCAGATTATACAGTTAGACTCCAACATTGACTTACATGACACACTCCCCAAATAGGATCTAACTGCTGGGCATTTCAGTAGTATCCCTTTGTTTCTCCAGATCTTTCTTGTGTCCTAAAATAACCCAAAACAGTTTATAAACAGCCGTACAACATACTGTCGCAATGGCAACATTAACTGTCTACTATGAGTAGGGCCCTGTATGGGATGATTTCCTTTCTTTTAATTGAAAGTAGATTTGTGTGTGTGTGTGTGTGTGTGTGTGTGTGTGTGTGTGTGTGTGTGTGTGTGTGTATATATATATATATATATATGTATGTATATATATGTGTGTATATATACATACACAATATATTCTAAGTCCAGTTTCCCCTCTCCCAACTCCTCACAGATCCTCCCCACCACTACCCCACCCCACACCGGGATAATTTTCTTACATGAGATGAGTCCTGAAACTTGAAGGAGGTTCTTTGACCTTATGGAAAGCCAGCCAGTTCAAGGGAGAAATGAAACATATTACTCTTGTTAGAAAGTTAGGGTGAATCTTTATTTAGGGGAGAAATAGTTGATATCTGCATAGTTATTTAGTTGGTATCTTAATTGTTTTTTAATCAGTTGTTTTGTGCAGTGAAGAATAGTATTTGAAACTTGGAAAATATACAAGTTTCATTTGTTTAGTAGGATGAGTTCTGACATTAGTTTGTGTCATCTTGTGTGTAAGGTAGCATGTCGATAGCGTTCTTCCTCCTTTGTAAGAGCATATCATGAATTATGCGAGGTCCAATTCAGTGGGCAGTGGTTTGTGCTGAATTCTAGTCCTGCCTCCAATCATGCATTTTTCTTTCCTCACAGACAAACTTTCCAGAAATGATGAACAGATATAAGCAACTCTTGACCTATATTCGGAGTGCAGTTACCAGGAACTATTCTGAAAAGTCCATTAATTCTATCCTTGATTATATCTCCACTTCTAAACAGGTTAGACTTGAGTTTTTCCTCTTGAATTGTCAATGTGTTATTTAAAGTAACGGTTCTGTGGGTTTGGGGTGCTGCTGCTGTGCTGGTTCCTTTTCCTTTTGAGACCGTCTCATGTAGTCCAAACTGGCCTCCTAACTGTGGTCAAGGGTGGCCTTAGGCACCTAGACTTGCCCTCTTTGCCTCCCAAGTGCTGATAGGCATGTGCCACCATGGCTGCCATGACTTTGTTTTGTTTTGTTTTTTTTAAAGAAAAGGCCTAGTTAATAATTATTAGTGTGCTGTAAAAGTAATATGTTCTGTTTTCTTGATTCTGGTACTAATTAATATTTAAAGGTAATAAATCCAGCCTAATCTCTTTTTAGTAGTATCTTTAGATCCTTAAATATTATCTACAAATAACTTGGGCCGATCTGTATTCAATTCAGATTCCATTCTGCACCCCCAGTCTTCATTTCAGCCATTGGGAGTGTTAAATACTGAACATCAGTCACAAGTTATGACATTTGATTAAATTAAAGTCCTTGAGAAGTACTTATCCTGTGACAGTCTCGATAGGTGCTCTATAATCAAGGATGCATGGTGATAGCTGATAAAGGGGAGGTGAGCAAGGGAGATTGGTTCTTCTAGAATGTGGTGGTTAACAAAGGCAATGATGGTTTTATGTATTTCATTCCTCTTTTTTTCCTGTGATTGTTTTTACTTGTTTTTGTTCGTTTGTTTTTGGCTTTTTGAGATAGGGTTTCTCTCTGTAGCTTTGCGCCTTTCCTGAATCTCACTCTGTAGACCAGGCTGGCCTCGAACTCACAAAGATCCGCCTGGTTCTGCCTCCTGAGTGCTGGGATTAAAGGCGTGCACCACCACTGCCTGGCTACTTGAATTTTTTTTTAAGCTTTCTTACCCTCTGGTATTTGAACACAAGATATTCTCTATATCATTTGGTATCTTTTTGTACTCCTGACCAGTGTTCTTAGAATCAGCCTCATCATTCCCCCCGAAACACACATACACACATTTTTTTTTAAGCCAGATGTTATTTCTCTTTCTTGAGATAGTTCTTTGTATTTTCCACATCTATTCTGAAAATGGGCAGAACAAGGCTATTCTGACAATAGCCTTGTCACTTGATGATGATGGTTCTAGAGTAAGTTACATATGGCAATTTTGCTGTATGAGACCAGCCTGGCTGGTGGCACATGCCTGTAGTTCCAGTTCTTTCCAGGTGGGGGCAGTGGGAATAAGAAAGAGTTCAAGGCCATCCTCGGGGGGAAAAAGGTGAGTTTAAGGCTAGCCTGGACTGCATGAGACGCTATATCTAAATAAATAACACTAAATTAAGCGGGAGAATATTTTTTGGTGCTTACAAACAAGAATCATAAGAACATTTTTAGTACTGTGTTTATAAATATGCCAAATGTCAGAGGAATAGAATTGAATAATTTTAAAAAGGTTGTATGCTTCTGTATGCTGTTATCTGAGAGCTTTTTGCCTTCTGAAAGGCCGAGGAACTATTATGTGGGTGGTGTTCTAACTTACTCCATGCTGTCAGTAATCCTGAGAATGTCAGGCTCCCCTGCTCTCCTGGTTCTCTCTCCTCTCTGGTACACAGAGATTAAGGGATCCAGTTACCAGGATCAAAGCTGTGAAGAGAAGAGGGTTAGTAAGGAGCTTAAGATGGTTGGAAACAATGCTTGTTATGGGGGGAGAAGCACACAGATTAGTGAATTGGTAGTGATTAAACTACCACATAAAATTAACTAGACTTTTCCTCCATCCAGCTCCAAGGTTACCCTGTGACTTGAGAGCTATGCAGCCCAGTTAATTGTCTAACCACATTTTGAGAGAAAAATAGGACTTTTCAAAAAATATACACAAGGTGTGGTGGCTCACACCTGTAATCCCAGCATGAGGAGGATAAGGTTAACTCCATCACCGAAAGCCTGGTCTATAGAGCAAGACCTTGTCTCAAAACAGAAGAACAAAATCATTTTGATAGGAGGAGTGCTGTTGTGTGTGTTTTCTCTCCCTCTCCCCTCCCCGCTTCCTCCCTCTCTCTGAGTTTGCTTAGTGTTTCCTTTATAGAAGATATAAAGGCTGAGTAAATAAAATGTGTGTATACTTTAAAAGTACAGCATATCATTCTGTTGGTACAAAATGAGTGATTAGATTGGGAAGGACAAACCTGATTATTATGGCATTAGAACTTATTGCCATGTAGTTACATGAGAAAATATATTTCTTGGATTTGTAAAACAAACAAAAACATCTTAACAGTTATAAACATGATCTCTTTTATGTTTTGGATTATAGAAGACGTTTGGTAAGAAACAAGTAGTGTATCTTACATGTATTAAAGTTCAAAGATGCACTTTTAGTTTGTTCAAATTAACTTTATTAACAGGTACAAATTTGCTGTTTACAATTATAGAATTCTGATTTTTTATGTCAGATGGATTTACTGCAGGAATTTTATGAAACAACATTGGAAGCTTTGAAAGATGCTAAGAATGATAGACTGTGGTTTAAGACAAACACAAAGGTAACCTTTGCTTTTGTTCCTCCTTTTGAAGAGTGGGTGGGTGACTTGAATGAAGTGTCTAAGTATACATACCTCCTGCTAAAAGCGTTTGATCTTAATAATCTTTTTTTACAGCTTGGAAAATTATATTTAGAACGAGAAGAATATGGAAAGCTTCAAAAAATTTTACGCCAGTTACATCAGTCTTGTCAGGTAACATTTCCTGTTTTTTGCTTAATATTTCATTATGATAAAAACATGAAATAATAGTATTTAATTAATTTAGAAATGTTTGTGTTCAAGCATCCATCCCAAAAATTAAATTTAAACATAATAAGTTTTTAAAAGATCATGAGTTCAAGGCCAGCCTGGGCTATATAAGGAGTCTTTGCTTGGGGGTGATGGTGACTTTCTGATTTCTGTATTTGTCTAAATGAGTGGTTCTCAACCTTCCCAATGCTGTGACCCTTTAATATAGTTCCTCATGTTGTGGTGACCCCAACCATAAAATTATTTTCGTTGCTACTTCATAACTGTAATTTTGCTACTGGTATGAATTGTGATGTGAATATCTGATATGTAGAATTTCTAACACGTGACCCCTGTAAAAGGGTCATTCAACTCTACCCAAGTGGCCACAACCCACAGGTTGAGACCTCTGATCCAAATGGTTTGTTTCAGTTCTTACCCTTCATAGAATGAGGTATAGTTCTCAGTGAGCAAATAAGCCCCTTCTAATATGTAGTAAATTTGTACTGTGTAGTAATATGTAATACGTAGTAAGGTTTGTATTTACTTACTTGCTCTAAGAATATAGGGGAGGAGTTTTTTATGAGTATAAATAAGAAAGGCATTTTATATTCTGATACATGACAAAAGTCATTTGTAGCATTACTCTCAGATAAATTTGGAGTGATGGTCTATATGTCTGCAATCCAATATAGCACAGGTGTGATGTATTCTAATGTGTCTAATGTGAGAGAAATTGTGTTGAGACAGATGTATGGTAATCTGGTTATGATTTATTAATGGATAACTAAACTGCATTTTAAGTTCAAAGACTCAAACAATAAATTAGGTTTAGTGTGTGTATTTTTTGTTTAGTAATACTTATAGCTATATTTTACTATAGGCCATATACTATCTAAGGCTCACGTTTGGAGAGCATCTTTCAGGGTCACCATGTGATTGACATACTGAAGAAAGATTGAGATGAGAAGTTTAGCATATTTCTATTTCCCTAGATGCACTGGGGAAGTTTGTCTTGATTGAATATATGAATTTAAAGCAATTGTGAAGATTTAAGGAAGACCATTAGTATACCTCCTAGCTAAAAATATAAAGCTACATTGATTTTTTTTTTAATTACATTTAAGTGGGTGCAGGGTATACAAGCATGTACATACCACAGAGTACATGTTGAGGTCAGAGGAAAACTTGTGGGAATTGCTTCCTCCTTGACCATGTGAAGGATGGATGACTTGACGGCAAGGGCCTTCCAACATCAGATTTTAATGCATGAGTCTGGGGAGGTGGTTCAGTAAGTAAGAACACTTTTGTTAAGTAGGCACGGAGGCACAAATTTAGATCCACAGCACCCATTGATAAAGGTCAATGTGGCCATGCATGCCTGTAACCCCAATGCTGGGAACAGGGGCAAAGCATGATTGCTGGAACTTGCTGACCACCAGCCTACCTGAATAAACAGTGAGCTTCAGGTTCAGTGAGAGACCCAGTGTTCTTCTCTAACTTACACACAGGAATGCATAACCATGCATATATGGTACACACACAGTTTTTCCTAAGTAAATAAATGAATGTCCTTTTCTTTAAACAAATATTTTATACACACAAAAACTTGTGGTGCCCTTTTTCCTATCCAGTAACAGTATAGTAAAGGCATATGAAGTTTCCTTTGATCACTATACAATTAGCCATGATGCAGTAAAATCTAATGCATTTTTATACATAGAGGATATAAGGTTCCCAGATTAATGCTAATAAAAATTACTCTGTTGTCCTTGCATTCTGTCCTGTCTAAAAATACTTGTTTTCCTAGACTGATGATGGAGAAGATGACCTGAAAAAAGGTACCCAGTTATTAGAAATCTATGCTTTGGAGATTCAAATGTACACGGCACAGAAGAACAACAAAAAGCTTAAAGCACTCTATGAGCAATCACTTCATATCAAGTCTGCCATCCCTCACCCACTGATCATGGGTGTCATCAGAGGCAAGTCTGGGTTAGAGAGAAGTAGAAGGGAAGATACCGGGAGTCACTGAGTGGGACTCGGTGACTCTTAGGTTGTTTCTGTTTTACTGACCATAAATGGTAAAGTAGAAAGTCATAAAGTGATCTGTTAGAAATTAACATGGGTCCTTGTCTTAACAAGGTCATAGTAGTAAAGGTACTTTTATAAAAAAGTCACCTTACCAGTGTAACACTCGTGATTTGTAATGACATAAGAGATGACTTCCTATTCAATAGAAGTGGTAAAGATTTGCAGTGACAGCTGGTGTTCAGTAAACTTGCTTTATAGAATAAAGGTATAAACCCTGGGTATACCCTGCGGCTGCCATGCAGGATATACAGTTAAACCTGGGACTACCCTGGGTTTGGCTTTGCAGGACGTACAGTTAAATACTGTGACTACCCAGGGCTGCTTGGGGGTACCATGCAGGACGTACAGTTAAAAGCCAATGCAGTCACCTTCATTTGATCTTCATAAACTAATCTTGTTCTTGCCTAGCTGAAAGTGTTCTTTCTCCTGTGTGTTCTTTGCAGAGTGTGGTGGTAAAATGCACTTGAGAGAAGGTGAATTTGAAAAGGCACATACTGATTTTTTTGAAGCTTTCAAGAATTATGATGAATCAGGAAGCCCAAGACGAACCACTTGTTTAAAATATTTGGTCTTAGCAAATATGCTAATGAAATCAGGAATAAATCCATTTGACTCACAAGAGGTATGTCTACTTTTTCAGTTCTTACTAGCTGATTACCTTGTGGGAAAATAAGAGGTACTCTCTCAGTATGCATACATAATTTGTTTTTGTTTTATTTTTCTTTGTTAGGCCAAGCCGTATAAAAATGATCCAGAAATTCTAGCAATGACAAATTTAGTAAGGTAAGATTTATGTTTCCCTGAGGCAGCCTTCTCTAAAGCAGCTGGCGGGGGCGGGGCGGCAGGGCGGCAGACAACAGCAGAGAGTACTTCACGGTCAGCTTCTTGTTTTTGTCTGTCTGTGTAAAGGCCCAAAGTCCACGTCATTTTATCTTTTGAAGCCATTGTGCTTTCTCTTAGTCACGGACTATGTATAAAGTCTCACTTGGTTTGTTTTCCTTGACTCCAGTATGGGAGAGTAAACCCAGTTGCCAAGGTTTGCCTTGAACTTGAATCCTACTGCCTTGGCCTCTTTTGAGCCTATACCACCAGGCCCATCTTGGTTTTCTTTTTTCTTTTTTTTTTTTGTTATTTATTTCTTTTATTTATTTCCATTTTGTTTGTTTTCTTATTAACCATGTGCTTGTGTGTGTGGCATATCGGACAGTTTTAACTAGTTGGAAATACCTCAAAACTTGGTTTCTCAATATTAATACCTCTGCCTACCTTCAGTCTAAAGTCAGTTGTGAGTTAGTCCAAGATAAATAAAAAATTTTCAGTAATAAGAGGCATAAAAAACAACATACTTTCTCAACAAGATAAAAATGACATTAAAAAAAAAAAACAACACAACAACTTTTAGGGCAAGGCGTAGTGCTACACACCTTTAATCCCAGCACTTTGTGGGGCAAAGGTGAGAGGATCTCTGTGAGTTTGAGGCAAGGCTGGTCTGCATAGTGAGTTCCAAGCCAGCTGGGGCTACATAGTGAGACCTTGCCCCAAAAACAGAAAAAGAAACCTTAATTTTAGTCCTAAGTAAAAATAAGTCTTTGGGAGAAGTTTTGCTGTAAATACCTTACATTGCTATACTAATCAATATATTCTTCCATTGCTCGCATTTTAAATTTCTTTAAATATTTGTTGAATCAAGTTTGTTTGGCTATGAAAGGACACTTCTCTAATATTTTTTCAAGTGTTTAATTTGTATATATTTGTTAGATTATCTTGCTTTTTTTTTGCTACAAATTAACATTTGAAATACTTTTAAATGAGTTTAGCATTTGTTTGGTTTTTTTGGTTTTTCAAGACAAGATTTCTTTCTGTCACTGGCTGTCCTAGAACTTGCTCTGTAGACCAGGCTGGCCTTGAACTCCTGCCTCATGAGTGTAGCTGGAATTATCTCCAGTCCTGCCCGGGCCCGCAGCCACTCAGACCCAAATAAATGTGGTGATATTGTGTTCCCAAATATACCGTGCACCCTAATAAACTTATTTGGGCTCAGAGAACAGAACAGCCACTAGATATAGATGCCAGAAAATGGTGGCACACACACCTTTAATCCTAGCATTCCAGAGGCAGCAATCCGTCTAGATCTCTGAGTTCAAAGCCACACTGGGCATGGTGACCCACACCTTTAATCCCAGGAAGTGATGGCAGGAAGCAGAAAGGTATATAAGGACCAGGAACTAGAGCCTGGTTAAGCTTTTAGGTTTTTAGTAGCAATTCAGCTGAGATTCATTCAGGTGAGGACTCAGAGGCTTCCAGTTTGAGGATACAGGATCAGCTGAGAAGTTGGTGAGGTGAGGTGAGGTTCGCTGTGGCTTGTTCTGTCTCTCTGATCTTCCAGTACTTACCCCAATACCTGGCCCTGAGTTTGTTCTTATTAATAAGACCTTTTAAGATTCGTCTTACACATGAGTGCTGGGATTAAAGGCATGTACCACCACCACCTGAGTATTCTGCAAGAATACTTTTAAAATATTTTGTTTATAGCATTGGATTGCTAAAAATCAATAAAGATTAAGGAAATAATGAAAGTTTTGATTAGAAACTAATGTTATATAAATCGGTTAAGTACAATAAAATACATTAAAGAATTGCTTTGTCATACTTTTACAGAGTAATAATTATGCTATATTTATTATGTCTCATTACCCCCAGTGAAGCATCTATAGTGGAACTCAAAAAGTTATTATAATGATACACTTTTACTCAAGCAAGTAAATAAAAATAAAATCTACTTAATGGGAAAATCTCGTATAGCCAAAATATAGATGTATGTAAGATAAAATATGCGTGCAATGTTTTCACTACTTGAAAATGCCTCCTGTTGTGCATTACAGTGTTTTGGGGTAGGTAAGAAAATAATACTTCCTAATTTTATCTTCCTAGTCAGTTGCCAGCAGACTAGAGGAAAATATTTGCTGTTGAAGTACTTGAATCACCTGCCCCTAACATGAAGTTACATTGCGACCCAACAGATGGATCACAGCAGAGGGCGTGCAGAATGGTTGATGATATGTCTTACATGTAAAGCACACAGTGGTGCCATATCCAGAAGGTTGGCCTCTTCCTTCTCAGCACCTTGAGCAATCCCATAGTGCCTTACACAGCTGTTTCAAGAGTAGGTGCCAGATCCCGAAGGAGAGTTTTGGACATAAATCAGCCTTTGGCCTTCTGCAACAGGGGGTTCAGTCACTGTGGCCTCTGTGTGTGCTCACTTGGCATTCCTGTCACTCATGTTTCTGCTAGACAGGTGGAGAGATTTTAAAGCTAGAAAGATTTGAGAATCAAGCCTTTTGAAAAGGTTTTGCAGTTGCTGGTAGCTTTCTAGAAGATAAAAATTAGGAAGCTGTATTTTCTTTTTCAGAAAAGATATGCTCTCTTATTTGAAAGCTAAGGCCAAGCACTTTTGTTCGATAATGTGCATGAAACTTGGTTTCTTTCATTAAGATCAATTAGGGATCAGAAATGCACAATTCAATTGAAAATATCAACTAGTATAATAAACATTTTATTGTCAACTTTGAACAAAACAAAGATTTGAGATTATCTTAAATTACTAATGTATCTGTATAACATCCCCTTCCCCAAACAAAAAGATTCATTTACTCTTTCCTTTAGTAAACGAAAAAGCTTTAAAGTTTTTTTGAGTAATGTGTTTATTTGGTTCTGGAAAAGTTTTTGGGAGGCTGTATATGTGTGTATCCAATTTTGACTTCTGTGACAGAAATAATGATAAACTTAGGTTCTTGCATATAAAGATTGAGAAGTAGACTCTGGATTATGATGTGATACAGTACTTCATATGTGGTAACATTTATGCCTTTTTTTTTCCTATTAGTGCCTATCAGAATAATGACATCACTGAATTTGAAAAGATTCTGAAAACAAATCACAGCAACATCATGGATGATCCATTCATAAGAGAACACATTGAAGGTATGTTGTTGGCTGCCTGAATTCTTTGCTGTTGTCATGAACATGCTTCTTTATGGGTTTATATGGAATTCAATAGCCATAGGAAAGGACAGAAGTTTTTCTAAGTGCTACCATAGTATATGAAACTGTTGTATAAATCATTAGCAAACTTCATAGGAATACCAGGTCTATACATGGCATTCGTTTTCCTTTACCTTTTTGTTCTAATATAAATACTGCTGCAATTTGATTATTGATGCTTAAATCCAAACCTAGTTTTTAAGATTGTCAAAAGGCTGTACTCATAGAGGATGCTGAGATGAGTTTCCTCCAGAGAATAAGATAACACTGGGAAGTGTTCTTAGAATGAGTGAGACTTAATACCTTCTGCTGAATTGCCAAAGTCAGAAATTATCTCTGTGTTTCTGTGTCGGGGCCTCAGACAGCTCCAGTGTTTCTGTGTTGGGGCCTCCAGTGCTCCCATCTGTTAAGAACTATCGAGGGCCAGGCAGTGGTGGAGCATGCTTTTAATCCCAGCACTCGGGAGGCAAAGGCAAGTGGATCTCTGAGTTCAAGACCAGCCTGGTCTCTACAGAGTGAATTCCAAGACAGCCAGGGCTACACAGAGAAGCCCTGTCTTGAAAAACCAACAAATTTAAGAACTGTTGAGGGTGCTTAAGTGACTGTTAGGAGCAATGTACTAAATATTTAAATATCAAATGCACCAGAAGTAATGCTCTCTGGTTCTCTGCTTTGCATTTTTTCATTCAGTAGATTTTTATTGATTTTTATTTATTTTATAAGCCTAGAGTGGTACTATACTTTGTAAATAGAGAAAAATATGAAAGCATTATCTATGAACTCCAGTCTAGTCATAAATTTTACTTGAAAAGACAGTTGTATATGAGGAATTGTATATGGACCAGGCATAGTGATGCACGCCTTTAATCCAGCACTAGGAACACAGAGGCAGGAGCATCTCTGAGTTCCAGGACAACTGTGGCTACAGAGTGAAGATTGTATATGGAAGTTAATGAAAGTGTAAGATGTAATGCACTAGATTGTGGGAGCCCTAGGACAAGTCATTCATAGTGTGAGTCAGAACTTCACAAAATGTGTTAAAGAAATGATGAATGGTGGATGTTGAGAAGACAGAAATATTTTAGAAGAGTTGCGACATAAACATAATTAGAGAACCAAAAACGGGAAGAGGCAGCCTCTAATTAGACTGCTTTTGCCACCCTGGGATTTTTAAAATATAGACACCTGTGTCTTTACAAAGCAAAATGGTTTGGAAGGTAAATTGTGTAGTGAGTTAACGGGGCCTGTACGTAAATGATTCATGAAGACATTCACAATTTTTTTTTCTCTTTGTCTTTCAGAGCTTTTACGAAACATCAGAACACAAGTGCTCATAAAGTTAATTAAGCCTTACACAAGAATACATATTCCTTTTATTTCTAAGGTATTTGTGGATTTTAGTGTTTATGATTTGTGCCTACAGTTGTAGTATACCCATCTTTCTTTTTTAAAAGTGACTAACTTGGACTTGTAGCATTTTTTTAAAGTAGAATATAACTTTAGAGCTTCATTTTGGAAAGATTTTTGAAACAGGTTTTATGTTACCTAGCCTAACTTTTTAGAGTGTGTGTAAACTCATGTAACACTATATAGTTGAGGATGATCTTGAACTCCTAATCCTCTTGCTTCTGCCTTCCAAGTGCCAAGTTACAGGTTTGATTTTTCAGTGTTACTTAATGTAAATTACTTTAACAGAAGAAAGTTTTAATGTATGGGAGAAATTACAAATCTATTTCTAAGATTTCCTTATTCTCAGACAGAAGAGAGTGAAGCGTTAATAAAGGTCCCGTCCCAACCACTGCAAACATGGAGTAGGGGTGAACCCCAGAAGTTAGAAGAGGGCTGAGGGCATAGCTTGGTACAGAGCACTTGCCTGCTGTGAGCAGATTCATGGCAGTTCAGTCCCTGGCACCAGAAGGAAAGAAGGTGACAGAATGAACCTTTATCATGCTCGTATTCTGTGAGATATTCTGATGTGAGAATAGCTTTGTTTAAAATCTCAAGCCAGGTCTAGAATCATAAATCTAATCCCAGTTGTTTGGGAGATTAAGGTGGGAGGATTGTAAATTCAAGGCCCACCTTGGCTGCAGAGTAAATGTAAGCCATCTTGGCTAACTTCCTGACACCCTACCCTAAATGTGAAAAGAGGGTTGGAGAGCTCAGTGGTATAGTACATACACAATATCCTAGGTTCAGTGCCCAGAATCATCCAAAAAAAAATCTCTTCACAGATGGGATTGTAACTCAGTAAGAGGGCACTTGCCTAATGTGTGCAGGTTCCTGGATTAAATCACCATTGTGGTAAAGAAGGGAAAAAATGAAGCCCCTCATTAATGTTTCCTTTCAGTGGTGTAGATTAAAGCCAAATGATTATATAAAATTATGAAGTCTTTTTAAATGTTAACTAGTAGAATTATATAATGAAATCTTTTGTCTTAGGAGCTAAACATAGACGTAGCTGATGTGGAAAGCTTGCTGGTGCAGTGCATACTGGATAAGTAAGTACTTGGCTTTTTTTTTTTTTTTTTTAATTTTTATTAGTGTGTCTGGTATGTGCATATGAATACAGGTGCCTCTGAAGACTATAAGAGGGTGTTAGATCCCCTGCAGCTGGAATTCCAGATGGTTGTAAGCCACTGAGCTTCTGTGTTAGGAAATAAACTCAGGTCCTCTAGAAGAGCAGCTAGTGCTTTTTAACACTGACCCCTCTTTCCAGCCCCCTTGGCAACTTTTTTAAATTATAAGATGTTTGGAACTAAGTTACTTTTCTGTTGGTGTAATAAAATACCAAAACTAAGGCAACTTAGAAAGGAAAGCACTTCATCGGGTTGTGGTTTCAGAAAATAAAGAGTCCATGCTGATGGGGTAAGGCACAGCTGAGAGCTCACCACATGTTATTGGCAAGTAGGAGGCAGACAGAGACCGGGAAGGGCTGGAGTCTTTTGAAACCTGAAGCCCACCCCTGTGACATACCTCCTAATCCTTCCCAAACAGTTCCACCAAGATAGGACCAAATATTCAATGTATGAGCCTGTGGGGACCACTCCTTCAAACATCACAGTAACCATAAATTTTGGGCAGAGATGGAAAGGATGGCAACTCAATTGTTGATTTGTCATTTAAAACAAACAAGCACTTGGGGCTATGGTTTTGCTAATAGGAAATATATATGTGATTTCTTTCATTTGTGAATGAATGAGCATACTGAATATATAATCTCTGGAAAGGTTCTAAGTCATTTTTCAGACAAGTTTCTCATTTGATATATGACTTACATACTGCTAAGAAATTATTACTGGGCCAGTGACTTACTATGGCTCAGCAAGTTAAAATACTCACGGCATAACCCTGACAGCCTGAGATAGATCCTAAGACCCCATGGTAAAAGGAAGGAAGCAGCTCCCTAAAGTTGTCCTCTTTATCTTATTTATTTTTTTTTTTTATTTTTTTATTTTTTTATTGAGATAGGGTCTCGCTGTGTAGTTCTGGCTGGCCTGGGATTTACTATGTAGACCAGCTGTCTTCCTGCCTCCCAAGTATTGGGTTTAAAGATGAGTTCCACCATGTCCAGCCTATAGGGTGTAAGCACTATCTGTTACAGAGCAGTTTTTATGTTATTAAAAGTAGTATGCTTTGAAAGCATGGCCGGTGTCATTACCTTTCATGATGTAAGTGTCATTCTGAAAAATGATGAAGTTGACATCTTTTTAAGAATTGAGTAAGGCAATATGGTATAATTAACACTAGTACTAAATTCACTCATTACAAGTAGGCAAACAAATTGTGTTGTGTGTGTTGGTTGGTGGTGAGGTGTTCTGCGTAATGTGCTTAGCAGAGATGACTAGAGACCTTGTTTTCTTATTTGGTTCCAGCACTATTCATGGCCGAATTGATCAAGTCAACCAGCTCCTTGAACTGGATCATCAGAAGAGGGGTGGTGCCCGATATACTGCACTAGATAAATGGACCAACCAACTAAATTCTCTGAACCAGGCTGTGGTCAGTAAACTGGCTTAATGGAGAACAAGCTTTGCAGGCGTGCTTAAGGCATCAGTGCAGAGATGTGATCCTTAAGGACTGGAAAGGCAAAACCCCTGTGGGTTGGTGTGTCCTGAAAGTGATTGGAGTTATGGCAGAAGTGCTTTTTTGATCAACTGGTTTGTGTTTTGCTGCTGCATTTATCCCAAGATAAACAGCTTTAATCTCCAGAAGAAAACCAAAACACCATGGGATTTATGCTGTGTTGACATCTTGCCCTAAACATACAACACCGTAGTAATATATCATGGGCAACATGACCAGAGTGAAGATTTTTGTCATGATTTTAAACACATTGACACGCTACTGTTGGTTAAATTGAAACATGTTGTTCCTGCAGAAATTCTCTCACAAATAACCTGCAATAACTTGAAATTCATACCCTTTTGAACACTTCCTTTTCTCATGTATAAATGAAAACGTTTGCTGCATTTTGCAAAATGTCAATTCTCCGAAACCGTGTCCGTCTACTTCTGTACTTGCAGCTAGCAAAGGTTAGATGGCCCCTACTCGCAGTGGCACACTGTCACCTAGGGCTCAAGCAGCAAAATAAACAGTGCAGCTCAGAAATTGTAGTTTGGTTCTTGATGTGTTTTTATTACATTTGGGGTTGCTCTTTTGTTTTTAGTACCTTAGAAATTTCAGATTATTTTATCTTCAGCTGAGATTTAAAAGCCTGAGAGCAAATAAGTTATTTGCTTTCAAGTTTTTAAAAATAGTGTTTATTGATAAAGTAAGAACTACTTTCTAACAGAGCCCTTGCATAGCACTTATTTTGACAGTGATACTTTAAAGGATTAAGATTTCTTTTTTTTAATGGTATTTCTTTTAAAAAGAGTGCATATTAACTCTCAGAATGTCACTTTAAACAAATATGCCAGAACATAGACAGCGAAGTGAATGTTACCTGCATAGTGACCATGCTCTAATGTCAGCCACCAACCATTGCCCAAAGCCTCTTGGGTTTGCTCTTTGAGAATTGCAGTCAAAGTTCATTTAAGTAACACGCTACTAACTTTGTGTTTGTACCTTGTTTGAAAATAGTATTAACAAACTTGTCTGTCTTCACCTGTATTTGGCACCAAATACCAGTTTCAAAAAAATACCTAAATTTAGATAATACTGAAAGTATGCAGCTGGCTTTGAAAGCAATCCCAAAATAATTTTCAAGTATTTTGTGCAGTGGCAGTATACAGTTAAAGAGTGAACTGTGGCCTTCCATGGTGACAGAACTCAGCTCATTTGAATGTAATCAGTTCGGGATGTCTTTGTTCCTTTTCTTTTCTTTGATTTTCTTTTCTTTTTCTTTCTTTTTTTGTAAGTTCACATTCTATATAGTGTCAAAAGAAGGAACTAAGATGAACATGATGTCCTTGGTTTTCTATTGCTCATTATTATGTAAACAGTGAGTGGCAGTGCAGAAGGAAGGCTGTTGACTGAAGAGTGGCAACCAAGAACTTTGATCATTAAATCAGATTTTATAAACAGTAGAAAGAGCATGGACTTAAAACAAGGCATGCTTATTTGGTTTTGTCAAAATTTTACGAAAATATGTGATATATATTTATACTAAAACTATATAATCCTTAGATTTAGGAAAGCAGTCAGTTAATGTCTAGCAGAATAAAGCAGTATTAAATACAGATATAAGTTGGAAATTGTAGAAAACCTTGAAAGAAGATGAAAGACAAAATGTCAATAGTAGGGAATAAAAAGTTTAAGATATTCTAAAAGTATGTGTATTTTCTTCTCTTCTACATAAATCATTTGTGGAAAATGTGCTCACGTTTTTTACAGGAGTGATATTAATTAGGATTTATTTTTCCAATACAATTTGGAGACCCTTTGTTACCCAAATAAAAGTGACCAGTTTCTGTGCCTGTATCAGGTGTGTGCATGTGACAAGCAGAACTCAGAGGACCTCGGTGCTGTGTACCAGCAGCTCCTGCAGTGCCCAGCTCTGCATGCAGTCCTCGCTGATCACAGCAGTACGCCTTAGTTTCTAGAAGGCAGTGTGCTTGTTATCCTGTGGGGAGCTGGGCCAGCTGTGTAATGACAGCTGGCGTTGTATCACAGCCTGTAGCTGCTCCATGCAGCTGCATCTGTGTCCCACAACACGGGTAATGGTCTAACTCAAATCGAGTTTCCTTTTGAAAGGATTTTGCCATGCGCCTGATTTCACAGAGTTGAAATCTCACTGTTTTATGTTCATGTCATTTCTGTTTAATTCCCAAATGTGGTTGAATATGCCACACCAGTCGGAGGTGTCTACACAAGGTGTCTGCAGCGGTCTGAGGTATCTAAAGTGGTCTAAAGTATCTACAGCCATCTGGGGTAACTACAGTGGTCTGGGGTATCTATGGTGGTCTGGTGTCTACAGCGGTCTGAGGTACCTACAGCAATCTGAGGTGTCTACAGCAGTCTGAGGTGTCCACAGCGGTCTGAGGTGTCTACAGCAATCTGGGATGTCTACAGCAGTCTGGGATGTCTACAGCAGTCTGGGGTGTCTACAGCAGTCTGGGGTGTCTACAGCGGTCTGAGGTGTCTACAGCAGTCTGAGTTGTCTACAGCAGTCGGGGTGTCTACAGCAATCTGAGGTTTCTACGGTGGTCTAGGGTATCTATAGTGGTCTGGTATCTACAGCGGTCTGGGGTGTCTACAGCAGTCTAAGGTGTCCACAACGGTCTAGGATGTCTACAGCAATCTAGGGTTTCTACAGTGGACTGAGGTGTACAGTGGTCTAAGGTGTCTATAGCGATCTGGGATATCTACAGCAGTCTGAGGAGTCTACAGTGGTCTGGGGTACCCACAGTTGCCTGAGGTTTTCACTACAAGAGTTGATTTGTTTTTCTCTTGCTCTTAAATTAGCATAAAACTGTTTGTTCTCACATCTTAATGTAACAACTTTTTCATGATCTGAGACTAGCCGTTCTAAGCACATGAATCCCTCTGAGTGAGCTGAGAGTCTGGTTTCACAGGGGGATTGTTGAAGCAAAGCCCCCTTCCATGGGCTGCTGGTGATGCAGTATGCTGTTGATTACTTTATACATAAAATGTGTTTGTCCCTGCCTAAAAACACCGGTCCTTGGTATTTAAAGGGCCAAAGTGGTAGAAGTTTTCTCTCTTAATTAGAAGACTCAAGTTCCTCAGTAAACCCCGGTGAGTACACATTGTGTTGATACTGATTAGCAGATACCTCTGATAAAGAGAAAGACCTTAGAACTATGCTAATCATTTCTTTATTAAAGCTTTTTAAAATCCTTTTTTAACCTGAAAGGGTTTCAATTATTTAAGTCTATAAAATGAGAGTTGACAATATAAAACAAAGTTTGGCTTTGTTCTTTCCATAGGATTTTTAGCTGTAAAATGTCTAACATTCTTGTCTTTCTCCCAACTCCCAACTAAGATCTCACATTGGCCTGAAACACCAGATCCTCCTGCCTTCCCCCTGCAGTCCCGGGGGCTCCAGATCCTCCTGCCTTCCCCCTGCAGTCCCGGGGGCTCCAGATCCTCCTGCCTTCCCCCTGCAGTCCCGGGGGCTCCAGATCCTCCCGCCTTCCCCCTGCAGTGCTGGGATTTGAAGCCTGCAGCACTACACCTCGTTCTCTAGCGTTTTGAAAGAAAAAAACACAGTTTGAGCTGAGATACAAGACAAAAATAATATTTGCTATCATATCAAGCCTCAGACTATGAGTTACAAAGCAAATCTGAGGCTAGCCTGGGCTACAGAGTAGAGCCACCTCAAACCAAAATAAATAAAAGTAAAAAAGCAAGTCCACAAAATCTCTAAATCCCAATCCCCAGATATCTTTATTTCAGGGTCAAAGGAATCTTCTAGATCACCGAGTGGGGACCGTCATCTTCATGAAAGAGCAGGAAAGCCCCTTCTCATTGTAGCACCATTTAATTTCAAGGCATTTGCCACAAACCCCAGTCAGGATTAAGCAATGGACATGGAACAGAAAATTAATGTAAACTAGGAAGTGACTCGTGTTTCCAGAAACTTGTTCTCAGCGCGCGCGCACAGTTCTTTGCCTGCTACAAAGGCCTAGAGTTGTCAGCTCTCTTAAAGATTTTCAGTTATTCCATGTTTTCAGACAATACTAAAAAAAAAAAAAAAAAAAAAAAAATGTATAGAGAACCATGTTAGTTTCTTCTAAGATATTACCTAAAAACAGATTTTAAGATTTGGAAACAAGTCACCAGATTTTAACTTTTCAAGAAATACTTAGCATCAACAATAGATGCATTAGTCCTGTTTTAATCTGTAGTGCTTAATATCATGAAACATAATAATCTTCAAGTAGTGTTAAAACTCTAGTACCTTCTCCAGAATTCCAAAAATTAACCTTTGCAAGTCTTAGCAGTCTTGAGAATTTTTTTGAATTGGTACAAGCAAAGAAGTAAGGGGAACAGTATACTCTCCAAGCCCCTAGTGTGGCTGCCTAAATTGGTCATCTTAGGAACTGTGACAAAACTAAATAAACTTAGGAATTTGTTAGATATCCAAAATAATTCCTTGGGTGTAATTTTACATCCAACCTTAAATTTCAAAAGTACAATGATAGTGCAGTCAATTAGCTTTAAAAGTCTAAAAGAGGGCTGAAGAGATGGCTCAGCAGTTAAGAGCACTGGCTGTTCTTCCAGAGGACCTGGGTTCAATTCCCAGCACCCACATGGCAATTTACAATTGCCTGTAACTCTACCTTCCAGGGATCTGACAACAGACATACATGCAGGCAAAATATCAATGCACATAAAATAAATCATTTTTTTAAAAAAGTCTAAAAGAACTTAACATTAATAGCTGTGTGATCAAAATTCCATAGTGAATATCCAAAATCAACGTCATTTTCTAAGTCTCCCAAGATTTGGAACTTGCAGGTTAGCAACTTGTTTGCACTGTGATGGGTGGTGTGTTGATACGATCAGCCTAGCAAGGGTGTACAGATGTACATATGCCTAGTTTTTTGTAAGTTGACACAAGCTAGACTCATTTGGTAAGAGGGACTCTGAATCAAGAAAATGCCTCCCTGAGACTTGTAGGCAAGTCTTGGAGTATTGTCTTGATGGCGATGCCATCCCCAGGTGGTCCTGGGTGCTGTAAAAAAGCAGGCTCATCAGGTGGTGGTGGCTGCCGCCATTAGCCCTATCACTGGTGGATTTCTCTGTTTGAGGCCAGCCTGCTCTACAGAGGAAGTTCCAGGACAGCCAGGGTTGTCTCAAAAAACACAAGAAAAGAAAGCAAGCTCAGTAAACCAGGAGTAAGTACTCATCCATGGCCTCTGCATCAGCTCCTGCCTGGCTTGAGCTCTTGCCCTGACTCCACTCAGTGTTGAACTGTTAACATAGAAGTCTAAAATAAACCCTTTCCATTTCAGATTGCCGTACGTCATGGTGTAGATCCCTGCCATAGAAACCCTCACTAAGACAGTATGTGCACCTGATGTTTCGAGCTAGGTTTTTGTTTTTTCAAGACAGGGTTTCTCTGTGTAGTTTGGAACCTATCCTGGATCTCACTGTGTAGACCAGGCTGGCCTCAACTCACAGAGATCTGCCTGCCTCAGCCTCCTGAGTGCTGGGATTAAAGGGCACCACTACTTAATAGTTCTAGGCTCCCAACTCTATCTTTCAGAGTAATGAATGGAAGTTTCTAAGTTTTTCTGGAAACCTATTTAAAGTAGGGTTCTGAGATGGTTATTTTGTAGGCAAGTGTAGATAAGCTACTGTGCTTGGTTGGCTACCGAAGGCTTGACCCTTAAACATTGCCACTCCCTTCCTTAACTATGCAGCCTTCATCCCATCAGCAGTTACAAAAGGAAGCTGGTGTTCTACGGTGCAGAAGGGAACGTGCTTTCTCTGCGCCCTGCACTGTTGTTCTCGTAGGCATTCACTGAGTGCTACTGTGTGCCAGGGACTGTAATGAGGCGCAAGAATGCCAATAGAACAAATTATCCTTTTGCCCAGAGAGCACAGTTCTATGGGGAAAGGCAAATAAGTTCATTTCAGATAGAGAAAAAAAAAATTACCAAACAAAAGTTGATTTCACGTTTGATTAAAGAAAAGGCTGGATATGCAAGTGTTGGGGAAATTGACTCAGGCATGGGGTAAAGGGTATCTGAGCTGAGGGAGACAGGCCAGATTATGTGTGGTTTATTATTTGAAGTAGTGAAGTTTTGTTTTCTGGTTTTGTTTTTTTTTAATGCAATGGGAAACATTTAGATATGTAAAAGCATTTGCGTTATTATGGGAAGTATGCGTGGAACAAGACATAGAGACCAGCTGAGACTTTGCAGGAGCTAAAATTTGGATTGCACTGAATCAAGATAGGGTCAGCAGGATTTGCCATATTGATATCATGGGTTATGGTAGCAGTCTGTTAGGCTTCTCACTGTGTGACTAGATGATAGTCAATGAACTGAGAAGACTGGAAACAGATATGTTTTGCAAAAGTGGAGCGGGGGTGGGGGGGAGCCACCAAAAGAAACTGGATTGAGAATTGGGAAAGAAGAGAATGTTAGGCATTCTGAGCAGGAAGTCAGGGTCAGCTGGGTGCTACTGAGAAGCTGGATAGAGCACTCGCAAAGGAAGGAACGGGATTGTACACGGTCAAGTGTGTCCCAACTGCATTTTCAGTGCAGTGCAGGAAATTCCAGCTCTGCTCTTCAATGTGAGTGATTTCACTTAAAACACACTTCCTGTAATTCCCCATTAAAAACAGAAAGTTCAAAGC